GCCACGAGGGTCTATTAAGTCTTCCGAGTCATCCTTATATGCTGAACTAGCATTTCCCTGCGACTTTGTCCGCGTGTATTTCTGATATAAAATGGGAAAAAGCCCGCTCACAAAACCATTCCATAGGCTTAGGTACTCTATAAAGCTAGATAATTACCTATGTTATGTATAGGACTCAGTTATAGTAGTCTCGTTCTTCGCATAGGCCATGTTTATGGATAAATATTAAATGTTGATTTTCATAAAGTGTCGTCTCAGTGCACTTCTGCACTCTCAAAATTCGAAATTTCATGTTTCTAATTTTGTTTTTAAGCGTTTAAACTCTACTTTATTTCATTAAAATTTGAAAAGTGCACTTCTACACTCTCTAAGGATCATATTTTCTAAATTTAATGTTTTTATATCTCTTTAAATTTGTACACCGTTTTATTCCCTTAAAAACTAATCTTCGAAAAATCTGATTTTAGTGCCCCTTTACACCTCTGAACAATTTTATGTTTATATCTTTGTTTAAACATTTACACCCCATTTAACCCCCTTACAGATTGATTCTCAATTTCATCCAAAATTTTTATTTTTCTCCGTTTAAATGTTTACAACCGAGTCACCTTTTAGACAGACCAGCTTAGTTGACATTAGTAAACTAATGAAATGTGTTTCAAAGGATTTTTAATGCAATTTTATGTAGACTCCAAACTTTTGAAGCCTACGGTTAGTCCTACGACAAAAATGAATAGGACCATTTTTGTAGGAAATTTTGATGCAGAAATAGACTTCTGCAGAAAATTCTGCATATATTAGATAAACGATGAGTTTGTATTTCTGGACCCTCGTGACTCCCCCTTCCTTTAATGAAGTATTGGACCCAGTTAATTCAATTTACTGTCAGTTTTTTTTTTAAATTACAAGACTAATTCTGTTTTAAATGCAGATAAAGCACATTTTTTTAAATGATGTTTTTTTCTGTCCTATATACTCGCTTACGGTTAGTCCTACAACAAAAATGCAAAGGACCATTTTTGTAGGAAATTTTGTAAGCTTTAATTTTGATAAGAAGATAAAAACCTATAGGAGTGATAATTTACGAGATATAAACAAAAAACCAAAAAAAGACACTTTTAACCCCCTCCCTCTCATCGAGCTCGCCCCCCACCTTCGGGGACTTTTGATATACAGGCTGTCCCAACGGTCCGAAAAAGCTCTATAACTTGTTTATTTTAAGAGATATTGCCTTTTTCTTTTTTTTTAGATTATAGCTGCGTTTTTGATGCACATTTTAAAAATATTGCAGTTTATATACAGGGTGTCCCAATATTAAAAAAACACTAAAGTTATGTTTTTTTAAATGGAATCTACACAGTTTGATTTTATTTTTGGATTCTACGCTAAATTACAAATTACTTTTATAGAGGTTGTTTTCATTTATCTGTTATTAATTTTGATTTGTGGCGCTTTTTTACCAGAATTTTTGAAATGCAGGGGTCTGTCTAAAAATTCGTAACTTCTAAATGCTTGCACACAACTTAAATTAAGTAACGCCGTTTGATTCCTGAAGGTTTGCCGCATCTTTTAAGTGTTTACTCAACAACCTGCTCAGTGGCATGTGCCTACTGCGATTTTTTAAACATAACTAATTAAAAATGTCAAAAACTAATTTTTTTCAAATGGCACTCTTTATTTATTATTGTACCAATCAAAAGATCTTTTGACAAGCTTTCTATCAATATAAGGTTTGTATAGTCTAGTGTAAAATTCTAAGTTGCTATCCTAAATTAACTAAATCTCGATAAACTTTTCTGTTTCGAACAATAAAAATCGAGTGGACCTTATGCACAAAAAAATTAGCACAGAAAATAAACAAAAGTATGGAATTGGAAATTCTTTGCTGCAAGAAAATGTACAATATTGTGCACAATTGAGTTACAGAGAAAATTAGGCAAAATCAAAAGCAGTATTAACACAATTTAGTAGAAAAATGTAAAAACATTAACAAACACAAAAAAACAAAACATTAAAGCTATTTTACTATTTTCTTTATAACAGATGCTCAAAAATATTACCATTTTCTTCAATACAAGTATGCAGTCTTCGTCTAGAAGATAGTCTACCACGACTTAGCATATCTGCATTTATTAAATGGAATGTATCGCGTATTCTTTGTTTCATATCCTCCGCAGTTGTTGGTCTCATTTATACACATTTTTATACAATTTTTTAAATGCAGCACTTTGCGGCAGTCTTGCATTTGGGTATTTTTATTTGTAGACTCTTTGAGCCAATAAAATATTACGATCCGCTTCACCAAAACTGTATAACATGTTAATGAGTTCTTGACGAGTAAAATTCATTTTGGGACTTATAATCTTCCCAATAAAATTGACAGATCGCAACAATGACAGAAGCCCACTCAATTTTTATTGTCCAAAACAGAAAAGTTTATCGAAATTTAGTTAATTTAGGATAGCAACTTAGAATTTTACACTAGACTAAACAAACCTTATATTGATGGAAAGCTTGTCAAAAGATCTTTCGATTGGTACAATAATAAATAGTAGGTGCCATTTGAAAAAAATGAGTTTTTGACATTTTTAATTAGTCATGTTTAAAAAATCGCAGTAGGCACATGCCACTGAGCAGGTTGTTGAGTAAACACTTAAAAGATGCGGCAAACCTTCGGGAATCAAACGGCGTTACTTATTTTAACTTGTGTGCAAGCATTTAGAAGTTACGAATTTTTAGACAGACCCCTGCATTTCAAAAATGCTGGTAAAAAAGCGCCACAAATCAAAATTGATAACAGATAAATGAAAACAACCTCTATAAAAGTTATTTGTAATTTAGCGTAGAATCCAAAAATAAAATCAAACTGAGTAGATTCCATTTAAAAAAACATAACTTTAGTGTTTTTTTAATATTGGGACACCCTGTATATAAACTGCAATATTTTTAAAATGTGCATCAAAAACGCAGCTATAATCTAAAAAAAAAGAAAAAGGCAATATCTCTTAAAATAAACAAGTTATAGAGCTTTTTCAGACCGTTGGGACAGCCTGTATGTATACCCAAGTGTAAAGAAAGCGTTAAAAAAAAATTTCTCTAGGATTTTTTTCCACCGATTTGTCTAATTTGACTGGGCTATCACACCCGAAATTCCCCCTTGTGTGTGTTATTGAAAAGAAAGCAGAAAAACACATTAGAGCATGCAAACAAAAATCAAACAAAAGCATATTTACATGTTGCTAAAAGTGACCCAAGCGCCCCTTTTTGTGTACGTGTGTGGTGGCGTGTGAGTGTCTCCCTGGTATGTGAACAACGTCTGATCAGAACTGCCGAAATCAGGACTCAAATTGAAACGTTCCTGCGAAAGCCACTGAGACATTTCGTAGTTTTTTAACAGGATTACGTCGGGAAGGCCGTAATCGAAAAATGAGTCCTGAGTGGGCAGTTCTGATGCACGACGGAAATCTTGACGAAAGTATGGGTTTAGCAACGGTGGAAGATGGCTAAAATGGTAAAAAAAAAACAAAAATGAACAAAGTGAAACATTTAAAGCGTGAAAGTTTACAAGAAGTGCACGGTTAACGGAACAGAATTGGCGAAATTTCGCAGAAACTTGAACAAATCTTCTCCCAACTCAAATTATGTTTTCAGCACTGAGTGACTGTAAATGATTGTGATTTTTTACCTTAAGTTGGTGTCACATTTAAAATTTTAGTTTGGCAACCTTGACTTTCAATTGTCATTCATTTGTGACGGGCGAATGCTGATTTAGCTGTCACGTGAAACATTCTAACGTAACAAATTGGAAGTGTTGCCAATAGATTTTTCACAAACATTAATAGTCACTCGGTATAAAATTTAACTAACACAATAATGTTGCTCTATGTGATTTCAAATTTTTGTCGCTTATTTAGCATCAAATGTCAAAAATGACATTCACGAGTAGATTTTTATGAAAAAAAGTTTATTAAATACATTTTTTGATAGTTTTCTAGCAAATACCTTTCTTTTTATTTTTGAAAGCACGTCAGAATTATTAAAAATATCAGGTAAAAATAACCGATTTTTATTAAGTCGGCGTCATATTTAAAATTTTATTTTGCCAACTTTGACTCTTAAATTCAAACGTCAAACTTTTACCATCTTCAAAATTGTCATTCATTATTTATTTGCGACCATAGAATAATAACAAATTAGAATGATTACCATACCAATAATTCAGTGTTGCCAATATATTTAGGGATATTCGTTACTAGGTTGCCATAAATTTGGTTAAGTTAGGTTAGGTTTGAGGCTATGTATTTTTCTGGTATTAACAATAAATCTCTCAAATGATAGTTGACATAACCGTCAACAACAACGAGTAACCAACCTTCAAAGTTAGTTACAAACAACATGAAAAACGTAATTTTCCCAAAATTCCTAGGTGATAATTTCTTGTTGACATCATTGTGGTCAACTAGACTTGAAATTTGGATCAAAATTTTTACTATACAGGATGTCCGGAAATCGCGCACCTCACTGTATCATCGGGCGGTGTCCTAGACAACAAGAAAAATGTTTAAAAAAATTTATCTATAAAAATTTCGAAGTTATGGGAGTTTAAATTTTGCACTTTAACTCTATTTCAGTTGAAAAAATAATTTTCCAAGATTTTTTGCTACAGGTTATTAGAAGTACAAACAAGGAAGCTGTATCCTAAATTGTAACTTTTTTTAGTGTTTTTATGGCTTTTGTTTACTAAATAATTATAAAAAAAAAGTATACAAGTTCATCAGTATCATTAAATAGACATAAAAAAATGTCAAATGTCAAAAAATAAATGGCAAATTTTTTTGACAGCTAGAAATTTTTAACCATTTTTTTAGTACTCTGGGGGACTACCCAATTACTCCCATTCAAGGAGGTATGCGACTTTCCGGACAATCTGTATTTCAACATAAAAACAACTACAAAATTTAACTTTTTTTAAGGACAAAAAGCAGAAATAAATACAAACTGCAGTTGTGTAAATTCTGTTTTTAGAGTTCAGGAAATCGTAAAAAAACTGGTCGAAAACGAGTTCATTCGTGTAAATGTAGGGGAGTTCTGATTTCAGTTGAAAACAGTGGCATGTATTCCAGTTATTTTTTTGAACAGAAGAAATAATCTATGTGGTACAAAGAAAAAAATTCAAGATAATGGAGAAAAATTCTTTCAATATAATTTTTATCACAAGAATCATTGGTTGGTAACTAAGAATTTCAAGTGAAAAGAGAATCCATATTCTTACATTTTATCGACTAAATATGGAAAAAAACCTCACTAAAAAAATTTACCATAGTTATTAACAGGGGCATCTTATGAATGTTAAATTTGAGAATTGAATTAAAAACCTAAAAAATATTTCTCATTAATTGTGGACGTATTTTAATAGTAAAAACTGAAAAAGTGTTTTCATGAATATGTTTATAGTTTTAATACACGATTTTATTCGCTACTATTTGTTCATTATTTATTTAAACGTGTAATAGCATCCTGAGAGATTTTTTTATGTATTTACTAAAATAAAACTTAATAAAAACCATAATTCTAAAATCCCCTGTTTACCGCACAATAGTTCTGTGCTAAGCCACTGCTCAAAATCCCCCACTACATCAATGGCTCCACCTATCTGGTCCTTTTCCAAGTTCCCGAACTGTACTCACACTGTCAAATAGTTAAGGTTGGCACCACTAGCAAATCCATTCATGGCAATTTTAATAAAGGAAGTTGGCAATTCCGATTTTGAGGTATTCAATTATAACGTTTTCAAAGAGAAAACAGGCCCACAAAATTCACAAAAGTCAAAATTTTGACATCTCAGCCTGAAAACGTAACCATAACTTTCAACAAAATTTCAAGAAACAAAAAATAAACAAAATTTGTAGTTATGGAGATAAGCTGCTGTCATTTTTTTCACCAAAATTTGAACTTGGTAATTTCCACAGACTTTAAAAAATTAGGATCACCAATAATTCAGTATTGCCAAAAAAAATTTTGTCACAAACATCAATAATCGCCAGGTACCAACCTTTAATAAAAAAAATCTTCACAAAAGGATTCTACAGATTTGTCAAGAAACTACCACCTAGTATTTGAACTTTTAGGAAAATTATGTTTTTCATGTTGTTTGTAACTAGAATTTTCAGAAGTAATTTTGAATGTCCCCTTGTTGTTGACGGTTGACGTTTTCTGTCAAACTGCTGTCAACTATCAATTGAATTATCTATACAAGCTGACAGGTGACTTAACCTAAATTTTGACACTAGTTACGATATCTTTTGTTTGTCACTAGAAACCAACTTAACCAAATTTATGACAATCTATTCACGAATATTCCTAAATTTTAGGGAGTAATTTCTTGTTGATACGACAATACTAGTAAATATGTTAGATTGTGGTGGTAATAAAGAAAAATATGATAAATTTAGAGTGAAAATTAAATTAAATTCAATTCAATGTACCACTATGATCAAAAAGAGTGGGCATAAAAAACCTTGTCACTTGATTAGGAGTCGGTTAAAAATTTGCAAGTTTTTAAACCTTTCACCAATTCTTTTAAGGAAAACCTCGTGTTGCTTACCGATTTTGAGCTATTTTCCGCAAGGTATCGGGAACACGTATTAATTTATCTAAAGTCTTTACAATCGATTGGAATGTAGGCCTGTGAGTGCGTTCCTTCTGCCAACAGTCCAACATAAGTTGGTAGATCGCTTCAGGACAATCCATCGGCGCTGGAAGTCTATACCCTTTCTCTATACTTTTGATAACGTCCTGATTCGACCAATTCCAATACGGTCTCTCTCCATAGGACATCACCTCCCAACAGACGATCCCCATCGACCATACATCACTCGCTGACGTAAACTTCCGGAAAGCTATAGCTTCCGGTGCTGTCCACCTCACTGGTATTTTACCACCACGTGTTGTGTACGCCCCTTCCGTCGCACTCTCGATCTCTCTGCTCAAACCGAAATCGGCGATTTTGCACACCAGTTGCGAGTTAACAAGGACATTTCTTGCTGCTAAATCACGATGGACGTAGTTCATCTCGCTCAAGTACTGCATACCGGAAGCGATGCCTCGCAGCATGCCCACCAGCTGGATCACCTGCGACCAACAACACAATTTAGTGAATTTTTTAAATAATACAGAAATAAACACATACATTATTGTGCAAAATGAAGTTGATTCGTTATTCAATTAGAACAAATATCATCTTTTTAGTTTTAGTTATAAACAACCACACTGTAAAATTGATTATAAATTTTGTTAGAAAAAAAGTCGCTAAACCGCAATATGCATTTTACTGAAGGCAAAATGCCTTCAAATATATATCGATTTTAAAAAAATGGTAAAGTCTGCTTTTTTGAAATCGAAATCACAAAGTCAAAATTTTGGTGAAAAAAAAGGTAGCACCTTTTTTCCATATGCAGGATGTTTCAAAACTCAAGCATCACAGCAAAATTCCAAGTAAGATAAGACACCAGAAGCATGAAAAAATGTTTACAAAATTCTATCTGTGAAAAATTTTTGACATTTGACATGTTTAATGATACTGATAATCTTGTATATGTTTTTTTATGATTATTTAGTAAAGGTACAAAAATTTCGCCAATAAAAGCCACAAATAACATTAAACAGAGTTACACTTGAGTGCAAAAAAAAAAAACGCAAATTGATTTTTTTATACTCGTAATGTAATTTGGCCTATTAAGAAATGCCAGCTTTTGTCTTTATCACAATTCACAATTTCACAATTGTCAGGCATCTTCCCAACTGCAATCAAGTTTTTCCATTTCGTTTTTAACACTGACTATGACACTGCATTGGCAAGACGACATTTTTTTTTAATAGTTTTCTAACCTTTTTGGGAACAACCTTTTTCACACTATGTAAATCTCTGAAAAATTAGACAATTTTGTTTTTGACAATTGGGTTTTTTTTTGCACTCAAGTGTACAACAACAGAGTAGCAAAAAAACAACTTAGAAAATTATATTTTCCAAGAGAAATAAATAGAGTCAAAGTGTAAAATTTAAACTCTCATAACTTCGAAATTTTTACAGATAGATTTTTTTACCATTTTTTCCATGTTCCTGGTATCTTACCTTACATGACAATTTTCTCTGAGGCGCCAGCTCTGGCGCACCCTGTATACGATTTTCAAATTCAATTTTCACTCTAACTTTATCATATTTTCAAAAGTGTATATTTTCAAAAATGCAGACCACAATCTAACATACTGTGAGATCAAAAATTATCTTGGTCAAGGGTGGTCATAGAATTTAAAATAATTATTGTGGGTTATGTCGACGCTGTCAGTGAGTCAAACATTCACAGAATTATTTCAAAAGATGATAGACGTTTTCCATTCCATGACCACCTTGATCAAGATAATTTTTGATCTCAAGTCGTATTAACACGAAATTATTGCCTAGACTTTAGGGATATTCGTTACTAGGTTGCCATAAATTTGGCTAGATTGGTGGCTATGTGTTATCTGGTGACAAACCAAAGACATCGTAATAAAAGTCGCAGTCAATTCATAGTGGCTATTTAATTTATTATAAGTTGGCAGCCTCTAAGCCCGCCACCTTTAGTGTGTGAGTTGTGTCTATGTTGTTGTCATTTTTGATATATATGTTCCTAAAAATAACAATTGGATGTTTAAAGTCGGATTTACACAACTCAAATTTTACAAATTTACACAGGGAAGTGGCCACTATGATTGATAAGTTGACAGAATACGTCAACCGTGAACAATAACGGGTAACTAACTTTAGGCAATCAAAAGTGCTTCTGAATATTCTAGTTACAAACAACATGAAAAACGTAATTTTCCTAAAAGTTCAAATGCTAGGTTCTTGTTGCTAAATTTGTATTAGTGGAATGGTTTTATGAAGATTTTTTTATTGAAGGTTGGTACCTGGCGGCTGTTGATGTTTGTGATAAAAGTATTTATTGGCAATATTGAATTACTGGTAAGGCTAATCTATGGAAAAATTGGTAGCAGATTATCTCCATACCCAATTTTGTTTATTTTTTGTTTTTGTCTCTAGAAATTTTATTAAAAAAATATGGTTATGTTTTCATGCTGAAATGTTTAAATTTTAACATTGTTGGGAATTTTGTGTGTCGTTTTCTCTTTGAAACCGTTATAATTGAATATCTGTCAAACGACAGAAAATTCAATGCAAATAATATTGATAAAAACATACTGCTAGTAAGTATAATGTTGTGGGCCAAAATAAGCTTCTTGCTACAAAAATTTTAATAAAAGAAAGGGTGTCTATACAGGGTGTTTATGGTCTTGAGGTTGAAATTTAAATGAGAGGATATTCACAGCAGAAGAAGACTAATCCATGTTCATAAATTTGGAGAAAAATTAAGAAAAACGAATCAAACCTATTGGAAACCATTCGCTGAAAGAGATTAAACAGAAGATCTTCGAATTTTGATAAAAACTAAAGCAAAAGCAAATCAAATGATGACAGTGTCAAAACTATGAAGTGACTTTTCTCTTTCATTGTCATGGATACGATTTTTTTATCTGTTGCAACAATACAATTTTATCTGAACAAGGAAATAATTCCAGTGACCCTCAAACCGTGTACCAATATTTTGGAGTTAAATAACATTCTTGATAATAACAATTGTGTGCGTTTTTTTCTCGGTTACAGTATTTCTATACTCCTCTATTACTACGTCAATTTTCAACTCCAAGACTGTAAACACCCTGTATAGAAAAAGTTATTTTGTAAAAATACAATACAATATTATGAAAATTAATAATAAATTTTGTGTGATTTAGTGAAATGAGCTCGAAGTTGATGCTTGTCTTAAATTCTTCTTTAATTTTAGTTTCAAAATTGTTACTTTTTCAACTCGTTCTTCAAAAACACTTTTTTAAGCCATTTTTTGCTGACGTTTAATAAATTGTTTTCAAATTAAATAAAACCGAAATTGCAAACTTTCTTTTATCATAATAAATTTATTAGTGGTACCAACATAACACTGACATTTTCATTAAATATATAACAATTTTGGAGATCTGTCACGGTTGAAATTAATGCACTTATTTCTGAGACACGATGTATACAAAAACAGTGGTGTGAGAGGTTATTATTACCTGGAATTTGCCGTCGTTGGCGCGCAGGAAGGTGTCCAACGAGCCGTTCTCCATATACTCGGTGATGATCATAACAGGGTTGGATTTGGTGACCACCCCTTGGAGGAATATCACGTTGGGGTGTTCGAATTGGCCCATGATCGAGGCTTCGGTGAGAAAATCGTTGCGAGCTTTGTCCAAAGACCCAGCTTTCAGTGTTTTAATAGCGACATCGATGTCAATACCGTTCGTTTTAAGTTTGCCTTTGCAAACATCCCCGAATTCGCCGCCACCAATAATCGCCTCGATTGTGATACAACTGGCGTCGATTTCACGCGCGAATTCACGGACGGCTTGATTCGGGTCTTCGTAGGTGTGAGGGTCGATGTAGGTGCGAGAGGAGCCGCTGATTCCGGTGAATAGCGGCGTCGTCACTGGATACAATTTCAATTACAGGTTTCTGTTCAACCACTGTATCAAAGTGGGCTGTGACTTGGAGTTGTAAGTTGGCAAAGTCACAACCACTTTGATCAGAAATTTAATTTAAATCAAAAATGAAACAAAAAATTTAAAAAATTACCATTTGTATGGGTTGTTACTATGGGGGGATTATCCAAGCTGTGATGAACTACAAATAAAATAAAAATAATAAAAATAAAATAATATGGGAGGATGTTAGGAGAACAAAAATGTGAAAATGAAACGTGCAAATACCTAACAAAGTGTGAGACTTACTGTAGGTCACTACTAATCCTTTTGGGTAGCGTGAAAGTGTATCATAGGCATCATTATATATAATGTGATTGGTGCAATCTAATTTTAACACAAAAATACCTAAATTACACGATGGCTATCGTGAAATGCTACGTAAAAACAAGGAAGGCTATGATGATTATCATAGATAACTTGTTTTTTTTACCGGATATATGTAGAACCAAGCAATTTCTGAAATAAAATTTTGGGAAGCTGACATTTTACTTTTAAAACTTTCGTATTTTCGAGTTCTGTACTTTTCTTTAATGACAATCTGTCATAAGAATTTTTTGAAATGTCAGAAGCACAACTGTTTATGTAAAACCAATAACTTTTCCAATAATTGTTTCCCACGTGAGCAATTTTTTAGTTCTGATAACGAATAACTCAAAAAAAAGTATAATTTAGGTTTTTTTTGTTGTTGGTATATTGGTAACATGTTAAATCTAGATTTACCAATTTAAATGAACTGTCACTTATCGTTAAAAAAAATTTTTGTCTTTAAATTCCCGATGAGCGACACTAAAAGTTGCACACCACTAGAAGTTAAATGACTTCGTTTATTCTTAACAGTAGTGATACCAACCTAATAAATGTCTCTTGACATTATTGCAAAGTAACAAGCGGGAAATATTAATGTGCATCGAAGAAATCGTTGAAAGGCATCATTAATCATTTTAATGTGGCAACCATACGAAAATTCTTACAATCCTAACCTCAATCTTCCCTAAAAATTATTTTCAAAAATATTTAAATATGTGTACTTTAGTCTAGCAAAAAATAATTAAAAATAACGTAATTAACACAGGGTGCCAAACATAAAGATTTTTGTCATTATTGATGTGATTAAATTTGCTCTAAATGACATTAATGAAACTTTTTGTATGAATTGGCCTTTAAATTAAAGATGTATTTAAACTTCTACTACCTACTAGATGCACATTATTATGAAAAAAAGTAAATATAATCCATTTCATTGAAATTGGCATAACAGCAGGCCATGATTGTGTAAACCGCTCTTTAAATGTGAAAAAGGCTTTACATATTAAGGAATTAAATTTGTCACTAAAAAAGTGAGGTTAAGACAGTTAAAATTCTATTTTTAAAGAACCCTCTTTCAGAGGTTTTCAGCGATTTTTTTCCATAAAAAGTTCAACACCCTGTTTCATCCTTTTGTAGAGGTAGTTTTAACACAAAAAAATTATTTTCTGTTGTTAGATTGCCATTAAAAAAATTAAATATAAAAATCGAGAACAAAAAGTTTTTCTTCAAAATGTAGAATATTTTATAGTCAAAAAATGCTTGGTTTTAAACTTCTTTTACGTCCGGTCGACGATATGTCTTCTATAAGTGTCCCAGATGAAACTTTCTCGTTCCCTATTATTAAAATATCGGATACTTATGATTGTGACAAAAAAATCTATTGGCTAGACTGCTAATTTGTGTTTCTGTGACGATTAAGCCGTCGCAAATGAATGACAATTACATAAATTTTAGGTTTGAAATTGAGTCAAGGTTGCCAACTTATCGTACCCAAATTACAGTCACCAACATTGAGATGACAATTTTTTATATGGAAACAATCTCTCGGAAATGAACAAATCGATATAAAAATGGGAGGTTTAAATTTTTCTACCAACTTGACAAAATTTAACGTAAACGTTGCCAACTTAACTGTCGAAACCTCCACCTGGGACACCCTGTACTATTTTTTTCCCTAAATAAGTTACCTTCCCCGTTGCGATATTCTAAAGTATCACAATCACTGGGTTGTTTTTTATTACATTCATCATTCGATCGTGATCTGAGGAACATAACCGTGAAAACAATGATCACCACCAAGACAACGACGACTACGACAATAGATCCTGCGACTAACTGTAACCTAATTCCTTCATCATCCCCCACATAGGCTGAAAAATATTACAAAAAATAAAACATCACAAACGAAGCGAGTGATTTAAACTTCTTACCCGTATTGAGTACCTGTCCTGTAGTCTTGAAAATCACCGGCGAATACGCCCCCCACCCCCTCTGGGTCTTAGCCCTCACTTGCAAGCCATATTCAGTCCTCTGTTGCAAACCCGTGATCGTCGCAAATAAGTCCGTTGTTAGTAAACTGGAGGCGTTGCTGTAGTCCATATCGGATCTGGGGAACCACCGAACTTCGTACGTCTCGACCAAATCATTTTCGATGTCGTTGCCATCACCAGCTGCTGAGGGTGCGTCCCACGCTAGTGTTATCTCTGAACTCATCACCGAGGAGACGCGTACATTGGTGATGCTGCTAGCGACTAGTGCTTCAGTTGTTACTGTAACATCGGCATATTCGGGGGCTTCGGTGCGCATGAATGAGACACCGTTTTCGGCGAAAATCTGGAAGCGATAAGTGGTGACGGCGTTCAGGCCCGAAATTGTGATACGAGTGTCGTTGAAAGTCTCAGTATGGGGGTTGTATTGGACGAGGCCGAGACTGCATGCGTCGCATTTGATGCGGTAGACGGTGTCGGTGCGACCACCGAGGTTCTCAGGAGGGGCCCAACTCAACGCCACTGTTGATTGGTCCACGAAGTTCACGGTCAGGTTCTGGGGTGCCGACGGAGGCTCTGTCCAAATTGTTAATTAGTGTTAAATTTGTAGCACTCTTCAAAACAAAGTAATTTATTGCCACAACTGATTGAAGGATGAAACTTTTTTCACAATTTACAGATTTTACGGCTTATTTTTATAGAAATGACTCAAGGACGCAATTTGGTAATTTTTCGAGTTGGTTGAGGCAAAATTTTGCGAAATAATTACACTTCTGGTCCAAAAACGTGCTAAAAAACTAAAAAATAATGATATTTTGATCACATCTAGTGATTGTTGGTTTAGTTTGGCGTAAAAACTGGATTTTAAGCTTAAAAATATATTTAGACGCTTGGAAAAGTAAAAAATAACATAATTACCACCGACTTGGGTGTTATATTCAAGTTGTTTTTGCGAAATAATTGCATTTCTAGCTGAAAAACGTACTAAATCCTCTGAAAAAGGAAAAAATAATATAGTTTTCGACCTAATTTGGCGATTTTTTGGAACTGTTTAGCGCCATTTCGAGAAAAAATTGAGTTTTTAGTTCCAAAAACAAACAAGATTTTTGAAATAGATAAAGGCAACACCACTTTTTCAATGATTTTTTGATCTATTTTTGACAAAATTTCACGAATTAACTGCGCTTCTGATTAATAAACGTGCTAAAACCCTTGAAAATGCAAAAATAATGTCATTTTGGACCTAATTTCGTGATATTTGGATCCGGTTGAGTAAAATTCGTTTAAAAAAAATGTAAACGTGATTTTTCGGGTTTTTTTGGACAAAGTTTCACGAAATAATTGCTTTTCTGATTAAAAAACGTGACTAAAACGCTCGAAAAAGACAACAATGTTGTTATTTTGGCCTCAATTTAAATATTTTTCAATTTTATTCAAACAAAATTGTACGAAATAATCACGTTTCTGTCAAAAACGTGCTAAACACGAAAAGTACAACATTAATTGCAGTTTTGATAAAATCTAGTGATTTTCTAACACAATTTTAAAAAACTGTGGTGTTTTATTCGTGTTGTTTTTGGAAAATAACCGTGTTTCTGGCTCAAAAAGAAAAAAAAATTATGTAGTTTCGCACTAGTTTGGCGATTCATTGAACTCGGTTTAGAAAAAACTAAATTTTTAGCTTGAAAAATATGCCTAAATGCTCAAAATAGACAAAAATGAAACCGTTTTGTGATGATTTTTCGGCTACACAAAATAATTAGGTTTTCTTAGTAAAAGAAATAAGAAGGTAAAAATGATGTCATTTTTGACATAATTTTTTTGTTCCGTTGAGCAAAATTCGCTTAAAACGTGCTTTAAGTTTTAAAAGAAGGTAAAATTATGCGATTCTCGACATATTTTGGTGATTGTTTGGTTTAGTTTACAGAAATATAATAAAAAAATTGAATTTTTAGCTCTATAATGGAATTCTTCAGATTGCTTTAGACAAAATTTCACAAAATAATTGAGTTTCTGGTTGAAAAACGTGCTAAAACGCTCAAAAAAGCCAAAATAATGTTATTTTCGACTTAACTTGGTGATTTTATAAGTTAAAGCGTTTAAAAATGGCTCAATGACTCAATTTAGTGACTTTCAACTTGATTTAGACAACATTTCGAGAAATAATTGCGTTTCTGGCCAAAAAACATGCTAAAAACCCGAAAAAAGCGAAAATAATGGTGTTTTTAATCAAATCTGGTGATTTTTCGGCTTAGTTTACTGTGTATAAAAACTGCATTTTTAACTCAAAAAGTATTCAAACGCTTGGAAAAGGCAAAAATAATACAATTTGCCACTTATTTTATTGTGGTTGTTTTTGTGAAAAAATTGCGTTCCTGTCTAAAAAAAAAACGTACTATGTAAATCGCTCAAAAAAGGCAGAAATTTGTTATTTTTGTTACAAGTACCTAAAACAGTTTTTGCGGACGAATCGTTGCTGTTTCCGGACGAGGTGAAACCGAGTCTGGAATAGCAGATAAGTCCGCAAAAACGTTTTAGGTACGTGTTACAAACAATATTTTTTTTGTTAAAGCTCCCAAAACACGAATTCACAATTCTTAACCAAATTTATTTAGTCCGAAAAAACTGTTTTTGGGGACTGAGTACCTAAAATAACCGTTTTGGGTGACTCAAATGAGTCCCTAAAACAGCTATTTTCGGGAGCGTATACAAAAAAATGTATTTTTCGATTTAATTTGGCGGTTCTTTGAACTCGGTTTAGATATCTAGAGAAAAAACTAAGCGTCTGGACGTTTCAAAACATCACAGATGGGGAGATTTAAGTGTTCAGAAATATCGGCTTAAAAAATTTCTAGACTTGCAAAAAAAATCAAATATAAAAAAGCCAATTAGGATTTTTTTAAATATTATGCTGCAAAACATAGAAAATGTTCAGAAATATCGATTAAAAATATAGTAATTTTTGAATTTAATTTAACGAAGCAGCCAAAAATAACACCATTTTAGACTTATATTAGCAATTTTTCGGTTTATTTTTTATAAAGTTTCACGGATAAATTGAGTTTCAAATTGAAAAACGTACTACTGTGCAATCAAAAAAAAAAAAATTAAATTCTACAGTTGGCAACACATTGGCTGGAAATCTGGGCTGAATATTTTCCACACAAACTGAAAGTGAAAATGACTATTCATCGTTTTCGTCTTGTACAGTAATAAAAAATTTCTACTGTAAAGTAAACATTATTTCACTCAAAAGGAATAAAACAAAAACTTGTCAAAGTTTCCGCTGACATTTGATGTCAAAAATCAGGATTGCCATCTGAAGGACTTTAATCACCGCCTACTCTAATTTTTTTTTTTTGATCGAACGGAAGAAAAATCAAAAAAAGGCAAAAACAACATCATTTCCAACCTAATTTGGTGATTTTTTCGTGTGTTACATACGTAAAGTCGCGGTCAATTCATAGTGGCCACTTCCCTGTGTAAATTTGTAAAAATTAAGTTGTGTAAATCCGACTTTAAACATACAATTGTTTTTTTAGGGACAGATCTATCAAAAATGACAATTTTAAAAAAATCGGGTTAGAATACTTCACATATAATCTATTGCGCCTGTCACAATTTAGTTACTTCAGCTACCAACATAGACACAACTCAAACACTAGAGGGGCTGCCAAATTTGTAATAAATTAATTGGCCGCGACTTTAGTGCAAAACTTTTTTTTGCTACTATTAAATAAATAACGTGTCTAAGTGTTTTTTTTTTTAATTAATAATAACTAAGCCCCGAAAAAGCATTATCAATAATTTAAAACGGTACTTACGAGTGCAGGACATGTTTTTGGGGTCGGTGGGTGCCCGGTAATACCCATTATTGCACCGACATTCAGAAAGCCCATAATCATTCCCGGTGGAATGTCCCGGACACGCCAAACAATCCCCATCTCCAACTTCCGCTTTGTACATCCCCGGTCCACAAACTGAAACACAAAACTTAAAAAAAAAATCCCCACATTACCCTCTGAACGTACGATTGCAAGTTTGTTTATCCACATCCGGTTGAAACCCGGCCTTGCATTTACATCCACCGCTCGGTAAAGTCCACTTTCCATCACCTTTGCATAGATAAGTTGGCGTACCATCGACCATTTCTGCATTCGGCACGCAACTACCTGTCGCTTGTTCGATAAGAGTGATTTCTTTACCGGTTGGTTTTGCGGGAAATTTGGCGAAATTAATCGTCACTTCCGGACACGTGATGTAATACACTTTAATGGCAAGGAGTGAAATACAAGCACCTTGATCGCGAAATGCGAAATAAACGCCTTTTTTCGTCACCGGAATGCTTTTCACTTCGGTATTGATGTTGACTTCGCTGTTGGAGTTGAAACGGCCCTCGCCGGCCGCGATTCGACCTGTCATCACAAAATTAATTATCACTAATTACGTTGGCAACATTGAATTACAATGGGTAGTCAATGTTGCCAACTTAATTTCAAAGCCATGAACAAATTGAAATTAGAAGTAAATTCTAATTCAACTTGTGACGTCATGAGTATGAATTACCAACAGAAACAAAATGTCACAAATCACTAGAGAGAAAAAAAAACTAAAAATGACAAGCAGACAGGCGTATACTCTTGTTCATATTAATGTGCATCAAGTAGGTTGTAGAAGTCTAAATGCATCTTTAATTTAAAGGCCGATTTACACAAAAAGTCTCATCAATGTCACTCAGAACAAATTTAATCATATTAATGACAAATTACGTTGTTCATTTTAATTATTTTGCTACCTCAAAAACTGGGGTACACATATCTATTTGAGAAAATAATTCTTAGAGAAGATTTAGATTGGAATTGTTTAAATTTTCGCAGGGTTGCCACCTTAAAATGATCCCTCTCAACGACTACTTCGATGCACATTAATATGAAAACGATTACAATGCTTACGAAATGTCACTTCAAAGTTTAATTATAATAGATTTTATTGAAATTGGCATATTGGTTGGCTATGGAATTTCACAGTTTGTAGCCCTGCATTTGTCCCTGATTTACAGCAAATGGAGTTTTTGTTTTTCTCTGATTACTTACCTACATGACTGACATTTCGTTTTTTCACTGTTTTCGTTGCTTGTTCTTTATTTCCAGTATTTTTTCAAATTTCAATTAAAAGTAGTTCTCTTCAGAATCCCAGCTTTAGAATAGACGCTAAGGTATGTTCCTGTTTTAGGTTAATGGAATCAAATATACCAATTTGAATAAAGCCAAATTATTTTCTTCAAAGTAAATAGTGTATGTTTTTTGCGTTAAAACTACACCTACAAAGGGATGAAACAGGGTGTTAAACTTTTTATGAAAAAAATACTCTCTCTGAAAACCTCTGAAAGAGGGTTCTTTAAAAATAAAATTTTCAATATTTTAACCTCACATTTTTTAGTGACAAATTTAGTTCCCTAATATGTAAAGCCTTTTTCACACAATCATGGCCTACTGTTATGCCAATTTCAATGAAATGGATTATATCAATTGTCATTATATTTTATTATTAAAATGATACAGATTTAAAGACATTCACTTTTGGCATATTATTATCAACGTATTTTAAAAAATTCGTAAAGAGTAGATTAGATTTTCATCACGAATGACAATAACAGTTTCAATTATTCGGATTCGGATATTATCTATTTCTGTCTACAAAACTTAAGTTCATTATTTTTTTGAAGTAAAGGTTTCTTCTATACGGCACTGATTCGTATTATTTGAATAACATTTTAGAAACTTTAGATTCAGGCCATTTTACAATGACAAAATTTATAACACAATAAATTTTTCATTTTTGTACAATTGCACCCACTGGTTGGAAATACATCATGTTCGCAATATGTGACATTCTCCTATTTCCACAATTCTTTTGAACAAATAGGTTATGTTATTTTTCCAAACAATTCAACTAAAAAGTCATTTTTTATGACCTATCACGATCTAAAGAACGTTTACATTAGTAACTTTTTTGGAACTAGAGTTTATTAAGAAACTAAATTTTTCACTAAAAAAAGTGAGGTCAAGATAATTAGAATTTTATTTTTTAAAAACCCTCTTTTAAAGATTTTTAGATAAAGTAGTTTTTTCCATAAAAAGTTTAACACCTTGATTCATCCCTTTGTAGGCAGTTTTAACACAAAAAACATATACCGTGCGATAAAAAAAAATAAATTAGAGCAGACGTAGATTAAATTCTACAGTTGGCAACACATTGGCTGGGAATCTGGGCTGGAAATTTTCCACATAAACTGAAAGTGAAAATGACCATTCACCGTTTTCGTCTTGTACAACAATAAACATTTTCTGCTCTAAAGTGAACATTATTTCAATCAAAAGGAATAAAACGCAAACTTGTCAAAGTTTCCGCTGACATTTGATGTCAAAAATCAGGATTGCCATCTGAAGAACTTTAATCACCGCCTACTCTAATTTATTTTTTTTTGATCGCACGGTAGATATACTATTTACTTTGGAAAAAATAATTTGGCTTTATTCAAATTGGTATATTTGATTCCATTAACTTAAAACAGGAATAACAAAAAGATATTAATTATGTTTTCAAACATAATAATAACGAATAAACGAAAACAGTGAAAAAACGAATACAAATGTCAGTCATGTCAGTTCAATAAACCATGTAGGTAAGTAATCAGAGAAAAACAAAAACCCCATCAGAAACATGCGCAGGGCTACAAACTTAAATATGAATGCCGCTGCAACCCATTATGCCAATTTCAATGAAATCTACTACATAATTCTGTAAATTGAAACCACTTAATGGTTGGTTTGCGTTTATTGATAAAATTCAACAATTGAACTTTTTTGTTGAGCACAATTTAAAAATAAGACGGACTTTGGTTAGCTTACGTATGTCTTGCCAACTGGTTCAACTTAAAATTACTATTAGGAATTTTTGCGCTCAGCAATTGGTGACAATTATACATATATGACGTCATAGTTGTCGCTAGAATTTGCGTATGACCTTACATTGGTAACACTGAATACGATAACGGTCAGTGTCACCAACTTAATATCAAAGTTTTTATGAACAAATTTTAGAGAAAATATACTAAATTATGCAAAACAATTGCAACCACATATTCTACATGGAATTGAAAGAAAACACCTTGTTGTTACGAACCTATGAGTTTGTATCTGTCGGCGTCCCATGGCGGTGGTTCTCTGGTAGCCGCGTCGAACTCGTAATATAATAAACTAAACGTTTCCTTGCACGATAAAGCATTGCCTATAAATCAATTTTTTTTATTTAAGAAACAAAAATGATAGACTTTTCTTTACCTGGAAATAGACTACAATCCCGAATGGTGAATTTAATTTCAATGTATATTCGATTGGCGACTCCTCTGTCTATGAACGGAGTCCATAGCCAATTATTGACATTGTTGTAGGCAACATCGCATACGACGTACGATCTCCAGTTGATTCCTTTTTGGAAATTCGTGAACGATTCTTCAACCCACTAAAAATCATCAAAATTCCCCTATAGTCACACGAACGAAGGAAGTCTCCCCTTCTAAACTCAATTATTACAACTGATTTAAATTCAGTCAATAAAATAAGTGTGAAATAACGACAAATCTAGACTCATCGGTAAAGAGAAATAAGTTGAAATATTGCCATTATCTTTCTCTACGTGCGTTGGATGAAAATCTGATCTATATTTCACCCTCATTTTTCGTTGTCTGCGTTTAGAGATGGACATCAATTTAGAAAACGTAAAATTAACGGTGTTTGTACGTGCCCGACATCATAATACTCTACTCATCACAGTGGCGGATTTACCCATAGGCTACAAAAACTATGAAATGAAATGTATTTCACAAAAATTTTTAAACATTGTTATTACAAGTGGAGATAGTGCTCGGAAAACATATTTCGGCAAGTGGTACATACTACATTTTTTAAATATACAGGGTGTTTCAGAGCTCGCGCCCTAGAGAGAAATGTCATGTAAGGCAGGAGCATGGAAAAAATTGTTAAAAAAATTCTTTCTATAAAAATTTCGAAGTTATTTTTGTACCTGTACTAAATAATTATGCAAAAAAATATACAAGTTCATCAGTAACATTAGACATATTTTAGGGCTTGATTAAAGATTAATTTCTAACATAATTTTAGTTTTGAAAAATCAGGTAGGTATGCCTTGAAAATTTTCACAAAAACTATTTTTCTATAAAGTACCTTTTATGTGGCAAATACAACAAACAGTTGTTTGTTGTTGGGCAACTATGATTTTTCTTGTTTTCTCTAAGATAATTGCTTTTTAACATATAAAATATGTCAAATGTCAAATAATAAATGTCAATATTTTTTGACAGATGGAAATTTTTTAAACATTTTTTCCACGTTCCTGGTATCTTATCTTGAAATTTTTCTCTGGTGCGTAAGTTCGGAAACAACCTGTATATTTTAGATTTACTAGAATTGTTTTACGGACTAATAGACTTCAATCAAAAAAATCTTTTAAACATTGTGTAATTAATTCAATTATTTTCACTTTAGTTAATATCAATAATGTGAAAGCCTTTAATCTCCGGTATTCTATTTGTTTTATTTTCGCTTTCTATAAAGAAGAAAAATTCTCTTTTCCGGTAATGTGATAAATCTATTTGTAATAAACTAGTGTCTTCATAAATGATCAAGTCCCACGTGATCTTTGACACCAATGCTTTTTATAAATTTTATATTCATTGCCTAATTATTTAGTTGTTCCCGTCACGTGAATCTTAATAATTTAATCAAAATAATTTAATTCAACAATCCGAGCAGATAGTTTTATGTTTGGGTTTTTTTCATAAATCTTGTAAAAAAGCTAGAAATTGGCAAAAATAACACCACATAAATCTGTGATTTTTCCGATTGTTTTTAATGAAATTTTGCGAAATAATTGCGTTTTTAGCTGAAAAATATGCTGAAACAGTTGAGCAAAAATAATTATAGGTAATAATGTGTTATTTTAATTAGTTTCGTTTAATCCGACTAATTAAATCATAAAATTGGCCTTATTTTAAAAGGTTATCAAAAAGAAAATGCAATTTCTTTCAGCATATCGATGTTAATCTTAAGAAACTTTATTGCATCAAAGCAAGAAATAATGCCTAATAATAATAAGTGAATATAAGTGAACATTTTGCTGTAAAACATGTTGGAACACTAAAAAAAGGCAAAAATAATGTCAATTTTATTTGTTTTAGCAAAATCTCAAATAATTTGAGACTTTAGTTCAAAAACGTGCTTAAAAAAAGTATTCTCGACTAATCTCGTGTTTTTCGGTTTATTTTTGACTAAATTTCGCTAAAAAATAAGCTAAATCGAGTGAAACAAACAAAATAACGTCAATTTCGACTTTTTATCAAATCCTAGGCATGTTTTGGCAAAATAAATGAGTCTCTGGTTCAAAAACAAACTAAACAAACTAAATTTGGTAACAATTTTTCAGTCAGTTTTAGCGAAATTTTTCGAGAAAAAAGCAAAAGTAACACTGTTTTAGACCTAATTCGCTAACTTTTCGGCTTGTTTTTAATGAAAATTTGTAAAATAATTGGGTTTTTAGCTAAAAACATGCTGAAACACTTCAAAAGAGCAAAAATAATATCATTTTCTAACAATTTTCGTGATTTTTGCGGTTTATTTAATAAAACGCGCTTAAAAACTTAAAGAAACTATAAATAACATCGTTCTCGACCAAATTTTGTAATTTCTCGGCCTATTTTTAAAACGAGTGAAACAAACCAAATATCATCAAATTCGACTTTTTATCTTATTCTAGGCATATTTTGACAATATTTTGCAAAATAAATGGGTCCCTGGTTCAAAAACAAACTAAAGCGAATAAAACAAACTAAAGGTGATAATTTTGCAGTCAATTTTAGCAAAATTTTTCGAGAAAAAACAAAAGTAATATTATTTTATGCTTAATTTGGTAAATTTTCGGCTTGTTTTTAATTATAATTTGGAAAATAATTGCATTTTTAGCTGAAAAACATGCTGAAACACTTGAAAAGGACAAAAACAATGTTCATTTTCAAACTATTTTGGTGATTTTTCCAGTCTGTCTTAGCAAAACCTCGATAAAATTGAGATTTTAGTTTAAAAAATAACACTATTTTCGACTAAATTTTATGGTTTCTCAGTTTGTTTTTGACAATACTTCGCCCCAAAAACGATCTAAATCAAGTGAAACAAACAAAATAAACACCGCTGAACTTTTTATTTAATTTTTAGGCATGTTTGGACAAGATCTTGCAAAATAAATGAGTCTCTGGCTTAAAAACAAACTAAATCGAACGAAATTATCTAAAATATCAATGTAGATTTGGTAATTTGGTGGTAATTTTTACACCAATTTTGAAATAACTTGGTAAATTTTCAGCTTATTTTAATAAAATTTTCAGAAACAATTACGTTTCTATCTATGAATCGCACTATAAAACTCTCTAAGACGCAGAAATAATGTCATTTTGGACCCAATTTTGGAATTTTTCCACTATGTCCAACAGAATATCAAATTTGATAATTTTTCGACTAATTTTTGAAAAAAATTGACAAAATAATTGAGTTTTTGGCTAAAAAATGCAAAAAATTGTGTCATTTTTGACCTAGTTTATTAGAGTATAATTGCAAAACCAAACTTTGTTCCTTAACTTTTGTGTAATAATAAAAAGCTAATTCTACAGTGTTCGGAGAAATTCGATTTTTAAAAAAATATGTCAAAATGTATTAATTTTCTGTTTTTTTGATTAAACAACTGCTTCTGTAAATATAATTTCCCATAACTTGATATTTTTAAGAAAAAGTAGCTCTCTTGTCGAAAATCACTAACAATAAAAAGGTCCAAAAATTCTGATAAAACAAATATTTTTTCTTTTGGAAAAAACTTAACGAAAGTCAATATTAATTACGTAATTTTGTTATTTTTTGGTTTGTTTTGTTTAATCTGACTAATTATAAAATTGGCCTTATTTTAAAAGGTTATCAATATCAAGAATTAAGTGCAATTTCTTGCAGCTTATCGGTTTTAATTTTAAGAAACTTTGTTGAATCCAGACCACAAAATCTTGCCAATTTTATTTGATTTATTCAAAAAGAAGGAAACACCAAAAACAAGTTCTAACAATGATATTTCTGCTTAGTTCGCTAATTGGAGAAATACATTTTTGGGCTATTTCATTCGATTTGGCTCAAAACCTGTCTGTGTTTTTTGTGAATTTCATAATCCGCCACTGATTAGAAATAAAATGAAAAATGTGAAAAAAATAGTCCATACCCCAGGTGTGTTGGCTTGCGGTCCATAGGGATACCTCGTCCAGTCTAAGGTGGGTTCACCGGTCGTATCCAAAAGCACGACTAAAATACCAAACAGAAAAATAATAAAATTTTCTCTCCTCTCAAGCACGTTGAAGCGGGGGGGGGGGGGCTAAGTAGCAAAGTCTCGAGGTATTTCGACTTCAAAGGATACCCGAAACTGAATTTAAAGGAAGAGAGAATGGCGCGGTCCCGAATACTTCCCCGGGGCATAAGAAAATCGATACGAGACAAGTCTAACAGAGCACATCTCGACACGTTCAAGTGTTGGTTGGGACATAAAACGTGAAATTTTTTATTTTTAATACATACCTTGCTCGGCATCAGCTGTTTTGTAGTGGATCAACGTTAAAAGCAGCGCTAGAAAACGCATCATGACCATTAGTTTTTATCAATGATAACACGAGGAGTTCTTGTCCTGCCTAAAGAGGCGGACCTCGAGCTCTGCTGCTACTCCATTCTGAAACAAAAATAATAGCTAGATGACAGCCATCTGTTTCATGTTGCATTCCATCTATCCCAATTGTTTATCTTTCAAACTGTTTTAATTGTCTAATAAACATGTACTCGCGTTTTATAACCCTAGTAAATTCACCGGAAGCTGAATTTTTTTTTCAAGAATTGCACTTTTAGAACAAATTTCCGTTCACTGTATTTACTCAATGACTCAACAATAGAACACACCGTGCTAATCATCAGGCTTAATTTTAACAAAATGGTGAATAATCCTTTTTTTGTATCTCGTAAAATATGCTTACACTATAAAAAAAACATTACTGATTTCCTTTTAAACAACCGCTGCTTTCAACACATGTCACCTAGATAAGACATTTCAACGAAATTACTAAATCGCATCAGCTTAAATTGAGCTTTTTCAGCCAATTATCACAATCATTGTCCTTGTGATTAAATGACTTTTATGTTGGTTTTATAACAAGTGGACTGTGACTTTGAAACTAATTTGGCAACATTGAATTTTTGGTGATATTAATTCTTTCAGGTAGACCTGTAGCCGCCCCTCATAAGAGAATGACAAATATAAAAATGTGTCGTCTGAATTTGATAGACAATGTTGCCAAATTAATTTCAGTCACAGGCCACTATAATGAAAGCATATTGAGTGTTTACATTGTAAAAATGGAAACAAGGTAGATAAGATTAGTTCTCTCGTGGAAATGACAACCAAACCTAGATTTACATACTTCAAATTGTTGCCATTGTGATTTTCTTTCATTTTATAAAAGAGGTCTGTGATTTTGACAAGTTGGCTACACTGCATTAAGGTGATACTAAATTGTTTCAGGTGACGACTAGGCCAGTAGCCGCCCTTCGAAGGCGAATGACAATTAGATATAAAAGTGTGACGTTTGAATTTGATGGTCAATGTGGCCAACTTAATTTCAAATCACAGACCACTTTGATATTAATGAATTTACAGGATGTTTAAGAGAATTCAACACTTTTGGAATTAAACTAGATTTTGTAGTAAAACAGGGTGGACAAGATTGAGTTTCTTGTGGAAACGGTAATAGAACCTAGATTTGTGTATAATTTGCAAATTAGCGCAGAAAGTTGTTAGTTACGCCCATTTAGTGCCGTAATATGTACATTTTACGATTGCAATAATAATTACACCGAACGCAATAGTTGGGTTTTTAATCACTCGATCTGTAAATACATAAATGCTCTGGTATTCACGCAGCACACCTAATTTTTTTGTACCTTAGGTATAAAATACCATTGCTGTCGGCCATTTTGGAACAGGTTAAATAGTGTGTAACTTGGGTCGAAAAGCTTCTCTAGTTTTACTAAAACGCTGCTGTTTCACTATTGTCGATATTTATAAACAAGACGCGTCCGCAATAACAATAAAAAATTACCATAAACATAAAAAATACCAACAGAAGAAAAAAAACAAAACAAAGAAAAATACCTTTGACATGATATGTTGGTCACATTTTGTGAAAATGACTCAACATGGGCAAAATTCCTCAAATAACTGTTTCTCCGTTGAAGAACGAAAAAAGCACGATATTTAGTCAAGATCTGCCATATATACGGCCATATAATGAACACACAGGTCACTTTGATGTAACGTAAACAATCACCGTTTTGTTTAATCAACACACCACTGGCGATTGCACTTGTTTTCGGTTGAAAAACGATGCGTTTTTGTTAATTTCCGACGAGATTTTCACGACATTCCGACACGGCCCGCTACGATTCAGCAGCAGCATCGCTAAGCAGTGAGCACACTGAACCCAACGATAATCTTTAGAAGCCAGCTTCACACCGGAAAAGTTCGTATTGTGTATCGATTGAGACGATGAGAATGCGCACACAACAATCAAACATTTGATATCGCGGCGGCGATGATCAACTTATTATTTTGCAATTGCAATTTTTTTTAAGGAAAAAGTAAAAAAAACCGGAGATATTTTCTATCAATGTATTTGGCACTTCTACAAATAAATCATTAATAAACGTAACATCCTTCTTAAATGTTACAAAAATTGTCATGTTAGTTAATAATACCAAGCTTCAATTAAATTTCTGATCAAGGTAGCTCATGACTTTCAAATTAAGTTGGCAACATGATACAATGTAGCCAACCTAATTTCAGTCACAAGTCACTTTGATTAGAAATTTAACGGAAATCATATTTCCATGTTTTATCTAAAATAAATGTTAATTAATATCTTTAAATTTCATCAGATAATCAACAATATGCCACCATTATATGACTATTATGTACAGGGAAATTCTTCAAAACAGTTAAAAAATAATCAAAAATAAGGGAGGACACTACTTTCTACCACTAAAATAGCACCGTTGTTAACATCTGATCTACCCCACCAAGATAAAATAACCAATACATTTAATATGTACAATAAAAAATTAATCGAAAATAAAATTTAAGCTGAATCTTCAAATTAATGCCAAAATCACTGTCATCATGACTTTCTTTTCATCATTTCACTGTCTGCACAACTGTAAAAATAAAAAATGTATAAAATTTTCCAGTTTAAATCTTGGAGACATAATACGTCATTGGTTACTAAGAAAACCGGGCGGGGTAGATAATAAGTTATCGGGGCTCCTGTATAAATACCACAATTCGATTGGTTCTTTTCTAGGCGCTAAAATACTGTCGAAAATAAAAAAATGGAAGCATGGGATATGTAATACAGTGCAAATATTCGTATATTGACTAGTAAAAAAAAAGTGGTCCACATTAATTTTTTCCGTTAAAAAAAACCTCTAAAACTATCACAATGAGTGCTGCACGTTACCAGCCAGATCGATTTCGAATTTTGGAAGTGTGTTAAAAAAATCGTCGTTAAACTGGAACTGGTTCGTTAGTAGCTGATAGAGCCATTTTCGACAAGGTCGATAAGCTACGCCGAGGAAAACTACTCCCACTGCTGCTTTCGGAAAATATCTTGCGAAAACTACAAGAAAATAATTAGGAAAAATCACGATGTTGCACAAATTTACAATTTTCTAATCCCTGATTCGGAACATTTCTTCCAGGGTGCGTCGTCGGGCTCGTAGGGTAGGGGACCTTGAACTGGAGCGTCTTCTTCAACCGGACTAGAAGTTTTCAAAAAACATACAACAAATAGTATATTACATACAACTCGCGACAGAAAAGAAACTTTCCACCGAGGTTTGTATACAGGTGTCCCAGAGAGTGGGTAAAGTCTATTACTATTATTACCTTTAATTTAAATGTATAAAAGAAATTGATAAATTATAAACTAGTGCATCACCTGAAATTATTTTCAACTACATATATAATTGTGAATAATTCCAAGTTGCACTAGACTAGTATTTATTAATTGCCTATACATATAAATTTTCTAACCAACTCGCTGGGACAACCTGTATAATTTTATTCACAACCAAATCTTTCATTTTCGTGAGAAAAAAGTAAAAAAAATGACTCGTCGATCGAGTTGGCCAGCCGTTTTTGTCGTCATGACAATAGAAGATCCGTAATGAGACACTTTCTAACCCCCGTCAAGGGTAGAAATGTCAACATTACATACAGGATGCGCCAGAACTCGCGCCCCAGAGAAAATTTTCAAGTAAAGTAAGATACCAGGAACATGAAAAAAATGTTTAAAAAATTCTATCTCTCAAAAAATTTTGACATTTATTTTTTGACATTTGACATTTTGTTATATCTATTTAATGATACTGATGATATTGTATATGTTTTTTTACAATTATTTAGTAAAGGGACAAAAATTTTGCCAATAAAAGACACAAATAACATTGAACAGAGTTACAATTTAGGACACAGCTTCCTTGTTTCCTCTTTTAATAGCCTATAGCAAAAAAACTTGGAAAATTATTTTTCCAACAGAAATAAATAGAGAAAGTGCAAACTTTAAACCCTCATAACTTCAAAATTTTTATAGATAATTTTTTTTTTACATTTTTTCCATGTTCCTGGTATCTTACCTTATATGGCATTTTTCTCTGGGGCGCGAGTTCTGGCGCATCCTGTATACGGCTGTGACTAATCTTTATTATTACCTCTCGCTGAATTGTTGACACCACCGCTTTCTTAATAAAATGTATTAGATGACACACAATCAAAATCAAAGTTAAAGGCTACTAAAACTGATGGAAATTTCTAAAATAAAACTACCCCTACCTCAAAAACGAATCGACAAAATATTTTTTTTCATTTACGATTAGATAAGCTTTTTTCCACCCCTTCCAAAAATATTTCAAAAAGTTGGAGGGGCTCTTTAAAATTTTAAAGTAAAGGTGGTTATTGACTAGGGGTTGAAACTTAAAACGTATTTAATGTTGGTTTTAAACTCTCCCATTGCAACCCAAATCGTCATATTTTTTATTTAAATTAAATTGAGTTCAATCAAAGGCTACTAGAACTAAAAAATTCAAAAATTAAACCACCCCTAACTGAAAAACAAATCGACAAAAAAATTTCCTTTGATATTTAGAGACGCTGATCTTTTCTCTTTCCGAAAACGTTCTAAAAAGTAGGGAGTGCCATTTAAAATTTTAAAGTAGGGGTGGCTAGCGACTAGGGGATGAAACTTAAAATGTAACTAATGTTGGTTTTCAACTTCCCCCTCGGGATCCTACTCGACCTGTTTTTGCTCGAAAATACATTTACTCATGTCAAAAGTTATTGAGACTGGATCCTTTTGAAATGAAAGCCCTGTATAAATTTTCTAACCAACTCGCTAGGACACCCTGTATAATTTTATTCACAACCGAATCTTTCATTTTCGTGAAAAAGTAAAAAAATGACTTGTCGATCGAGTTAGCCAGCTGTTTCCGTCGTCATGAGTCACTTTCTACCCCCGTCAAGGTTAGAAATGTCAACATTACATATACGGCTGTGAATAATCTTTATTATTACCTCTCGGACTTATTTTTCGGTCTGTAAGTTTCAAGTTCGTCCTCCAAATCGCTAACTCTCGCTTTTAGTTCGTTCCGTTCATGCAAAATATCTTTAAGTTCTTGAGTGGTAAACCGTGGCCGGTTTGGATCATCCAAATCATAGACGGCCTTGTTAACCGGAACGGGTGGATCACACTGAAAAAATCGGTTAATACCGAAAACAAAACACAATCTCGTAACCGGACTTTGACAAGATCTTCGTTTTCCTTCTGCGCTAAACCTAATCTTTGTCTCAAAGCCACGATATCTCTTTGTTGGTCTTGAAGTTGAACGAGAAAATCGGCCCTTTCGTCACATAAAGTGCGCACTTGGCTTTGGAATGATTTATGTTTGCGACGCAGCTCTCTACTGGTGTTGTTGAGACGTTCAACTTGCGATTTTAAATTTTCGATATCGTGACATTTCTCTTGTAATAATTTGTCTTTGAGGCGGATTTCATCGCGTTGCTTTTCCACGCTGTCTTTCAGTTTTTGGAGCATGTCGCCGTTGGATGGGGGCGATAAGGGGGGTGGTTGTCGATGTGGGGACGTGGAGTTGTCTTTGGCCAATCTGCGGTTTTCCTCCTGGAGACGTGTCACCACAGAGAGCAATTCTTTGGTTTCGGAACGCCATTGCTCTTCGATTGCCTCCAGTTCCTAAGAATTTTCAAATCTGGGTTAAATGGTGTGGTGTGAGACAGGCTTTAAGTACAATGTGGAAAAAAACATTAGTGTAAATAAATAAAACGTTTACGAATAATTTTTATTGAAAACACCTGTAATTTAAAATTTATTTGTACAAAAATAACAACAAAACAAAACCAAGGCTGCCAACCGTAAAATTTTTAAGTTACTAGAAAATGAGTAATAAGATCGTTTTTTTCAGTTTTTCTTGAGTTTTTCAAACTTACCTTTTCAAATTTTTGCCGATATTCCGCCTTTTCCAGTTTGTCATTCTCCAGTTGCGATATTTTCAATCTGAGTTCATGCAATTGTGTATTTTCTCTTTCATTGCGTGTCGCTAGATTTTCCAAAAGCTCTAAAGCGTTAATAACTTTGGGCATTAGCGAAGTCACAGCATCAGCTCCGTATTGATCAATTATTTTTTCACATTCTTTGCCAATATCTGAGGCAATATCGTAGACATCGACGACGGTGACTTCGCCCCCGAAATCGCTGTCTTCTTCCATATTTTCGACGTCAAAAGGGTACCGAGATCGAGGCATCAAAACTGCTGTTTCCAAAAAATTCTTCGCACTACACCTTATTGATCACAACAAAACAGGCAACTTTTAAGCTCAAATCTAGTGATTTTTACTTTCTTCACATTGCGACATTGTTGCGACCTGTCATTGTGTCGGTAAAGTAGCGATCTGTGATTCTATTCGAATTTTGAACTTTTTTTTAACTAATAGAAGTATCGCCACTATTTCAGAAAAAATATCATGTGTGATTGAAAAACTAAGAATAGAAATGTTTGAAAGTGGCACTGACTTTGATTTCGGTGATGTAAGTATTTTTTTTTAGTAAAATGAGGTTATCTCACATTGTTTACAGGATTTGAGTTTCAATTTCGAAAAAAATGATAATACGAGAGGTGACAAACGCCCAAGTGAGTCACCCCCACGTAAAAAAACGAAATTTAGTGTTCCAAAGACAGTTTTTGTGAAACGAAAATTCCCCGGTCCTGCGGGGCTCCTCGATTTGGAAAACTCGACTAAAAATGAGGCAAGTGTGATTGGCTCAATCACTGGGACTATATATGGAGTTTTAGGTCATTCCGTGCTCCCAAATGTCACTGTCAGTCTTCCAGACAGCCCCCTGGCTCCATATGTGTCAAGACAACGAAACGTTGATTGGCCAGTATGATATCAAGTGGATCAAGAGTGCGGCAAGTCGAGGGAGATTGCTGAATCAGAAAGCCCCATTCCTGGGGGCTGTTATTAAAAGTGTGGAGTGTTTTGAGGGGAAAAATACGATTGTTAAGGTTGTTTTGAAGGACGACACGGGTGAAATTCAAGGCTCGATTATTCATAATTTGTTTGAAGAACATTCCGAATTTTTGGTGGCTGATTCTGTGATTGTTTTGAGACAGTGTAGTATCATTACGACCGGTTTTGGTAATCATTATTTGACCATAACTCGGAATAATTTGGTGGCGATTTATTGGAATGATAAAGACGGGGATTTGAAGGTTAAAAGACTGCAAGAGGTGTCCAATGAGGAGCAAAAAAAATCAAACCAAGTTGAAATTAAACAAACAGATGAAGAAATTTTGAAAAATATCCTCGAAGAAGTCGATCTTGACTCACTTTTTGATGATTTCTAATTTGTAAGATTTTGTAAAGAATATAAATTTGTTTAGTTTTTAAAACCCGGCCTTAAAAATCGACCTAATATCACCTTAGTAACCCCCATCTGTCACCCGAATGTCGTCCCCTAAGATGCAAATCGACGAAAAACGCGAATTAGAAACGAGCAAACCGGCCGATTTCTCCTTCAAAAAATTGAAACTCCTCGAAGGTGAGCCCCTCTCGAATTCTCCTCAATCCAACCCTGGAATTTACAGAGACAGGCCCGGAGCAAGCGCGCGCGTCACGCCTAGGTGGGGTCCCTGAACGCGGGACCCAACACAAAAAATTCTTAACCCGGTCCGTGTGGCTCAACAATAATAGGTTGAAAAATATCAAAAATTTGGACGTTTTCATCAACTCTATTTTGGAATTTCCCGAACGTTTGGGGTGGATCGATTTTTCGTTCAATCAATTGACGGAGATTAATGACACGATTTTGAAATTTCCCGATTTGAAAATCGTGTATTTTCACGGGAATTGCATCGACAGTTTGGACCAGATTCTGAAACTGAAAAATTTGAAAATGCTGAAAACGATCACTTTTCACGGAAATCCCATTTCGAATTTGGCGTATTATAGGAGTTATATAATCGCGGCTTTGCCACAAGTGATTCCAGTGAAAGTCATTTATTTTGATATTTTTTTCGATTTTTTAGATCGACAATTTAGATTTTACTCCGGTTTTGAAAAATGAAAAATTGGCCCCAAAACCGGCCGAATTTCTTAAGGATATTAGAGCGACAAGAGGCACCAAAGAAGTAATTAAGGGCGACGACTGATTCATTGTTATTTTTTTGAAAATAAAACGGAAAAGACAGTTTTTATTTGTTTTCATAAAATTAAAATTCTTTCTAGAAAAACACAAGTTCAATATTCTCTAGTTAATTGAAGTTCAAGGAGGCAAATTTTACATTACAATGCTTATGGAAAATAAAAACTATCAAAATTTTGAAGCAAGTTGCAAGTCATTTCAGTATTAATTTGAAAACTGAGTTTTGAATACTCGTAGTAAGGTCTTGTAATTTGTAAATTATTTCTTTAACAAGATTTATTTAAAAATATGGTAATAAATTGACTCAATAGACGTGTTTTGTTTTGTACAGAATTCATAATTTCATGACAATGACAATACATTTGTAGACAATCACGACCAACAGTACTTATTCTTTTATTTCAAACCAAAGGAAATCCGATCAGTGGCGTAGCAAAGTTGGCCATTTTCATATTAAGAAAAGGGTAGTAATAAAGCAATCAGTAAAAAATTCGATTTTGATCAGTATAAAATGATAAATGATCAGTATTTAATTAATTTTTGTATAGTAAGAAATTAAAAATCATCAGTATAATATATGTACAGTGATGGACAGTGAATTTCGTCCACCCAATTTCTGTGAATTCACAAAAATTCACTGTAGTCTGTGCTTTATTGTCATTATAACTGACATTCAAATACGTATTGTCAAATTTAATCATATTCGAACATAATAAAATAAAAATTCTGGTACAAGAAGATATGTCTCAAAGACGTGTCTCTATACTTTTGGGCATACCAAGGACTACCACTGGTTGTCCACAAAGGACAAAGGTAAAAAGTAGCAAGAAGCATCGAGCATTCTGTCAACATGACAAACGTTAATCAAAATTCTGAAACAAGGTTAGAAAAACCTAAAGACTAATTTACACTTTTAATCTGTTAGGGAAACCGGGTGGACGAAATTCACTGTCCATCACTGTATAATATTTTGCACAGTAGAAATAATAAATGCTCAGTAACTTTAATTAAAATTAGTAAAACATAAAATTTAAAGAATTTTGAGAATTTTCAGTTTTGGTAGATAACAATGTATGGCCCCTGTGCCATTACTGAATATTTATTGGAGGGTGGTACATGTATTAGCAAGGGTCGATGTGCAAGAATGATTTTAGCAAAGGCTGGACACTGTGCACAAATGGTAATCAGTCTAATGAGCATACGCCACTCTTTGCGTACTGTGCATTTTTATTTTACTGTGCATTTATTATTTTTACTATGCATTTATTATTATTTATACTGTGCATTTATTATTTTTACTAATAAAAAATACTTGTTCAAATAATATACTGTACGTTTAATTTATTCCTTTAAGAAAAAACAGTTTTTGGAGTTAATTATGTTTTCGTTTTCAAAATTCAGTTTCATTAATTTAAAATTTAAAAGTAAACAAGTCTTGCAGTAAGTATAACGAGTTTTTTCTTATATAAAGCCTTCCGTTTGCATTTTTTTTTAATCCGAAGTTAATGACAGGTTAATGAAAATTTTCCAGTTTTTCTAGATTTCTAGTGATTAGACCCCGCCACTGTTCACTCACAAAATTTCGTGCCCCCTCCTCAACACAATTACTGGTACTATTTATCATTTCTTGGAACAACCTTTAATTAGTTGTTTATTGGTTGTCCCACAATGTCCAAGAGTGACATACGTGATTTTTTCAAAAACCAGACACTTTTCCTCACCGGAGGTTCCGGCTTTGTTGGCAAACTCATTTTAGAAAAACTCCTGCGAGAATGTCCCGAAATCAAAAAAATCTTCTTGATTTTGCGCCCGAAAAAAGGTAAAACGCCCCAAGAACGCTTCGAGGAACTTTTCGATATGCCCGTAAGTATGTAGAAAAGTCCAAAACTCAAAATGATTGAAAAAGTGTTTCGAATTACTCAAATCGACCAAAATCAACCTATCGGAGAAAGTCTTTTTGGTCGACGGTGACTGTCAAGAGCCCTTTTTGGGTCTTAGTGCACAAAATTTGGATTTGTTGCGTGAAGAAGTGACGTGCGTGATCCACGCCGCCGCCAATGTTAAATTCGACCAAAGTCTCAAAGAGGCAGCTTTCAATGTGCGAGCGACTCGAGATTTGCTCGAGTTGGCCAAACAAATGCCCAATTTGAAGGTAATTTGATCAAAAAGCGTGATTTGTTAAAAAACGGGGTCATTTTAGAGCTTCGTCTACGTCTCGACTGCTTATTCCAACTGTCTCAATCCTCATATTAAGGAAGATTTCTACGAACCACCTCTGAAACCTGAAAATTTACTTTCTGTAGTAAATTCCCTCGACGATGATGTTTTAACCAAAATAACACCCTCGTAAGTGTCAAAACTCGAATTTTTGAGAACCATTTAAATGATTTTCTAGTTTATTGGGCCCATGGCCCAACACTTACATCTACACCAAATCCATAACTGAGGATTTAGTCAAATCAACTAGTACTAGCCTCCCTATTGCTATAGTACGGCCAGCTATCAGTAATTCTCCAAGCCCTAGTACTAACTCTAGTACCAAATTAAACCAGTTGTAGGTGCAATCAAAGAACCAGTCCCCGGATGGATTGACAACTTTTATGGAGTTGTTGGTATAGTCCTAGCTGCATCTTTGGGTGTTTTAAGGAGTTTAAATGCAAAACTAGACGCCGTAGCACCCATAGTACCGGTCGATTATGTCGCCAATGTTATCATAGCTGCGACTTTTAAAACGGGAAAAGACCAACCGAAATTTCCTGTCATTTACAACTACGCGCGGTTTGGTAAAGATAATGAACTCACTTGGGGTAAAAATCATTTCTTGCTCGATTTTACCCAAAAAATCCTATCTTTTTAGACCAGTTTATGAAAATGATAGAACCTGAATGTTGGAACGCCGCGTGTGATAAAGTCGTTTGGTATTTTGGCTTCAAATTACGCGAAAATAAAATTTGGCATGACATTAATATATTTTTTAAACACACTGTTGTAGCCCACATCGTCGATTTTGTGCTTTTTTGTATCGGAAGACCGACTTTGTGAGTTGGAGAAAGCAACAAGGCAAAGAAGTGTTTAAATTATTTTTCCAGAGCTGTGAAAAATTACGAACGTCTCAATAAACTACTCAACTTGATTTCGTATTTCTCGACCCGAAGTTGGATTTTCGATATTGATAATACTATGAAATTGTGGCAGGAGTTGAGTGAGGATGATAAGAAAAAATTTGAGTTTCWTTTGGATACAGTGGACTGGAATTCTTTTGCCCACGACTGTGTTTTCGGAGGGAGAAAATTCCTTCTAAAAGAAAATCTTGATACTATTCCGAGAGGAAAACGGAAAATCAAAATATTGTTTGTTGCTCATTATACCCTAATGGCCATATTTTGGTTTTTAATGTATAAGTTTGTAAGGTTTTTAATAGGCTTTTTGTTCTAATTGATTTTTAATAAAGTTAGTTAAAGAAACTAAAAAAAAAACACGATTTTTTATATTTATGTTGAAAAACCTTAGGTATAGTGGCGGTCATTGAAAAGTAATACACTGGATTTTGACACATCCTCTCAAAATTAAAAAAAAAATGCAAAATGCAATTTTTTCTTTTTCTTTTATTAAGGTCGTTATTGTTAGTGTCACTGAAAACGTCATTTTTGACGCTGTCAGGAAAATTTAAAAATGCCACAATTGTCGAATGTACAGAAATCTATTATTATTACAAGATGAAGGGACAATGTCCCCCTATACGAGCCATCGCAGAAGAAATAAATGTGAATAAAATTACTGTCCTTAAGGTTGAACTATACTGGGAAGTAATGTGTTTCTGGCACACAGGATGGCGCCATATTTAGCGCCGTAGCCGACAACCCAACATACACTTGGTCCGAGTCAAATAGATTTGGTTCATTTCTTAGTTTCTTTGTGAACCACCAGTCTTTCATATTTCTACTAGCCACTAGAGGGCTTTTTTTCAAGATCTTGACCTTCAGCAGTTGGTAAACAAGCACCGAAGGGTAGAAATAACAATACGATCATAAAATAATAAAACTCTTAGACCCGGCTTCGGCTAGGCAAGTGAATGCAAAATGTTGAAACTCTGATTTATTTAGAAAAATTTTAGTAAGGAGGTCGGTCATCCTAAAACCATCAATTTTTAATTGATGAATTTTTAATTGAATAACCGCAATTAAAAATTCAAATAATGTGAATAATAATCAGTAATCACTCTTGTTTATTAATTTACATAATTTTTGGTTATTTGGTTATCCTGCTCTTTACTTGTATAATAAACTAGGTGTTATTTTACCATTTAGAATAAAATTTTAACTTTTGTACACTAGGCCATCGATATTATCTTCATACATTTCTCAAATTACAATGATAAACAAAATTCATAATAAATATCCAGAGATCAGGAATTTGTAATCGAGTCATCTTTAGCTCCGAAAACGTAAGTATGCCGACGTATAATAACAAGACCGTTCTTTTTTGCAGGTAAATTAGAAATTTAATTACTAAAACCATCATCTTTTTGATCTTGCCATTTTACTTTTCGACTTGTCATTTTATTTGATGTTCCACAGACATTCGTTTTCGAATCCAAAAATGACTCGATTACCTACAAATTCTCTTGATCTTTCTATACAAATTAGTGAAAACAATAAAAGTATAATTCAGTATGAGTGGGAAAAGGTATGTTTTATTTCAACCATCCGAGAAAGGTAATTTTGTACGTGAAAAGTTTTTTTTTTCATAAATTAATTACTTTACGAAAAAAATTATTAGTGGGGTGTAATGTATTATAAAAATGTGATCGTTATATAATAATGCGTCCGATTTACACTCAAACTCGTAGAATAAATAACTATTTGATGACAACCTACTGTTTACATTTTTTTTTAATTAAAGACTGATCTAAAACTGACTTCTAATTTAATAAACTTATTTTTTAACTAGTAGGTTTTTTTTTAATTCTTAAAGTTGCGTTCCGAGTTCATCACGAGGATTTTCCGAATTTAACCGAAGAGGTTGTTTCATGGGAGAGCCCTGATTTTTTGGACAGGTACTTTGGGGTGGTTTCAAACAGAAGAAAATTAATTCTTGTTGGATTTTTTGATCCATTCGGAACGACCCCTAAGCACCTTCACAAAAAACCGGGCTCCACAAAGACCAAATGCATGAAACCACTTCGATTAAGTTCGGAAAATTTTCGTGATGAACTCGGAATACAATAAGTTTAAGGATTGTTGTAAAAAAACTATCAGTTAAAAAACAATAGAAGTAATTTTTAGATCATAGTCTTTAATTAAAAAAAATTGTAACGGTAGGTTGTCATTATTTTTTTTTGCAAACTTTCGAAACTTAAAAAAACATTTTAATTGTCATTCTTGATAAACGGTCACATTTTACGCTACACTAATTATTTTTTCGTAGTTAGTTTACAAAAAAAACTCTTGGCTCCATACTTTTTATTCACTCTGTATTTCTTATGTCTATTCAGGGTTTCCCCCCCAGCCTTAGCCGCCATTGTGCAAATTTCTTTCGCTTGAAAATGGAAATATTTTGATATTTTTGTGTGCAAAATGCAAAATAGATTCAAGGCCGTGACAACTGTATTCAATGCAAGTATTTAACAAATTCATGTTAGTTTTTCTCTACTCGACAATGGAAACGAACCAAATTGTTGACTTCTTCAAAAACCAAACTCTTTTCCTAACCGGAGGAACTGGTTTTGTTGGCAAACTCAT